ATTTCTCCTTCAGTATTGTTCATCTTCCTCACCAACTTAAATCGATGGAAACTACAGCATAAACGGTTCTTCTTCCTCTGTCGCCTATTGAAATCGATGCGTGAACAATTCTTCTTCCTCACTTTGGACAGTTGGTGCTTCCCATCTTTCTTCACGGAGGTGTCACCGCGGTCAACCTTTCGAGGTTGTCGTGTCCGGTTGAAAATTGTTGTGCCGTATATCTCATACTCGTACCCGTGCCTTGTCGTGCCATGTTGTGTCAACACGGGTATGCCAATCGCAAACAAGAGTCCGATTATCATAGACAATTGGTGTAGGCCCAATTAAATTTGGTCAACTGAGATGCAATTTGTTCTCTCCTAAGGGTGGGGTCTTGGAGTGAGGAGCCTTGTATTATTTAATAAAGCCTTGTTGGGTAAGTGGTTGTAACAATTCGGAGTGGAGAGGGAGAGCATTTGGAGAGAAATTATAGGGGCAAAATATGGTGTTATGGCGGGGGATGGTGCTCAGTCGATGGACATGGCTCTTATGGGGTGAGTTTGCGGTGGTATATCCGACAAAAGTGGAGTGCTTTTGGGGATGGATGGACTTTTGTGGTGAGGCATAGTAATACTATTAGTTTTGGGGATAATTGTTGGTGTGGAGAGCAATTGCTTAGGGAGGGATTTCTCTCTTTGTATCGTAATGCTTTGGAGCCTTCTATTACAGTGAAGGGGGTCTTAAATATACATAATAGAAGTCTCAGTTGGAACATTGTCTTTCGGAGGGGTTTGTAGTACTGGGAAGTGGATGATTATGCTTTGCTACTGACATCTTTATATGAGGTGCACATCAGGGTAGGAGAGGGTGATTGTAGCAGGGGAGTTGACACAAGATGGTATCATCTCAGTTGGCGCGTATTTTAGATCCTTATTGGGACCTGTGGAGAGTTCATTCTCTTGGAAGATGGTATGGAAATGTAAACTGCCTCCAAGGGTGTCATTTTTAATATGGATAGTTGTCAGGAGACAGGTGTTAATCACGGATAATCTCCGAACAAGGGGTTTTTATGTTAAAGAGTGGTGCTATATGTGTAGGAAGGATGCAGAGACGATTGACTACTTGTTCCTTCACTGTAATGCTACTTGTTTGCTGTGGAACGATATTCTGACGTCTTAACACGTGGATTGGGTGTTGCCGAGGAGTATGGAAGATGTGTTAAAGGCATGGAGGAGAAAATTTTGTGACAGGGATAGCAAGCTTGTATGGAACTTTATTGCAGGTTGCATCGTATGGTGTGTGTGGAGAGAAAGAAACCGCCATTGTTTTTACGATAAAACACACACAATAGAGTACATTAGAGAATTATTTAATTTAACTTTGTATACTTTGTTTAATGCTTCAGCTACTAGGCATATAAATGGGCTGTCCAATTTTATATTGTTTCTTACTGGTGTTAATTTTATAATACACTTCATGTTTATTTTCCATTGATCAATAAAATATCTGATTACCTTTAAAAAAAAAGGTTTAGAAATATGGCTCAAATAAGTGCACAAAACGGACTTATCACCTTCTTTGTGGATCACTCCATCCATCACTTACAATGGTAACTCCTTTTTCCGCCCACATGCCTTTAATTGGGATCAATAACCTCTCTACATTTTTTCTTTCTTTTTGAAGATGAATAATTCTCAACTTGTTATTACTAGTAGGCAAATACCCCTAAATCCGACTATTGGAAATAAGAGTATAAAAACTAATGTTATAAGGATTTCTTGCAAGAGTAAAAGGCAAACCACTTAATAGAACATTCTAGCAATTTTGGAATCCAATTAATGACGCATTGTCACATTAAAAGCATTTTCCATTGCACTATTCTTTTTTTGTCTTTTCCTCCAAAACATGAGAATCCCTAAAACTCATATTATCCGATGGCAATGGCACTCTTTTGCCGCCTTAGTTTGCATTCTCAACTTGGCTTCATCTTCCATTTTTTGCATTTCATATATATATATATATATATATATATATATATATATATATTTAGCTACTTTTCCACAAACCCCAATTCCACGGCCTTGTAATTCTAAAAAATGTGCCCTCACTCTTGTGTATGAATTTGTCTTAGTTGCATTACAAATATTACATTGCCAAAGAATGTTACCAACCTTTTCATTAAATTTATCAAGTTTTGTAACATATTTCCAAAGGGGTTTAGATAAATCATCATCCATAGCATTACCACTCATAACTTCAAAAGAAAAAATTTCAAGTAGTTAAATTGACTAGAATTGGCTTAATGCCTTTATGTATTTCCTTCCAATTTACAGAATATTTACATAGGTATAAAATGTAAGAAAATAAAGAAAGTAAATTCCTAATTCTATGCGACAGTTATGTCTATACAAGGAAAGACGAATCATAAATTATAATCATGTCTCTAATACCCCTTAAATTGATGCTGGGGAATCCACAAGCATCAATTTGCCGACGAGAAAATTATGGCGAAGACGAGTCATAGATTTGGTAAAGAAATCCGCAACTCCTGATTAGTGGAAACATGAGGAAGAAAATGATCTTGGAGTCATAGTCGTCTCGGATGTAATGACAGTCTACCTCAATGTATTTGGTCTGTTCATGGTACACAGGATTCGTTATAATTTGAATAACACTAATGTTGTCACTATAGATATGTGTAGGCTGTGATTGGGAAATACCAAGTCTGCAAGAAGACCACATAACCACACAACCTCAGAACATGCGGCAGACATAGGTTGGTATTCAGTTTCAGTGGAGGACCGTGAAACGCAATTTTTTTTATTTTTTAAATTTCCAAGAAATAAGAGTACTAATAAAGATACATCATCCAGTAGTAGAATGACGAGGATTAAGACAATCAGCTTAATCAGCATTACTATAAGCTGTGAGTTCAAGAGGTATCCCACGAGGGAAGAACAAACCACGATGAGAAGTCCCAATAAGATAGCGAATAATACGGTGGACAGCTACCAAATGAAGATGTGAGGAACATCTATAAATTTGTTGACAGTATGAACCGTGAAGGAAATATCTAGGCGTGTGATAGTAAGGTAGATGAGACTACCTACCAACTTCCGATAAAAAGTGGGGTGAAGAAGAATCACGCCTCTAGTATAAGTAAGATAGGATTGATATTACCTGAAACTTGAAAACATATTTTCTTCTCGATCTTGCAAATGATTTTTCAAATGTGGATTGATGAAATTTTTGAAAAAGATGAAATAACGAAGAAAAATTTATGTGAATTTTTTGTATTTCTCTTGCAATTTTAGGAAAGGTATTTGACTTCTTATTTAAGTTTTATTTTTTGTTGAAGGCTAAAAAAGGTAGAAAAAATTGATTCAAATAAATTTTACCGATTTCTTTTTTCAAAGATTACAGCTGGAACAAAGAAATACAGGTAAAAAACGTACATCACATACACTAAAAGAGAAATTTTACAGATGGTTGGCCCAACAATTTAAAAATTGCATTGGTAAAGGTAATCCTTTTGATTTCCCCGACTTTTTCAGACCCAGCAGTCTCTTCCTTTCCTTATCTTTTCTCTCTTTTTTCTTTCCATCCTCAGACAATCGCTTCCCAGACCAGTCGCCTCCTGTTGCATTTCTTCCCAGGCATTCAATGGTCACCGTTCATTTCTTCCTCCCATCGATGTTTCTTACTGATTTCTTCAAGTCGACTGCCTTTTCTTGCCTCTGACACGCGTTGGCGATGTGTCCGAGGCACATATCGGACACCAATACATTTTCGCCAGCAGCGTGTCCGTGCTTCTGAGAAGTCACAAAGACAAGCATAGAGACATCAAACGAAGCAAGCTAAAGATGTAAAGAGATTAGCATAACTTGTATGTATTTTGGCAGATCAGGTCAAGTGGAATAATATCTAATAAATACATCCTAAACCTGTAATTGGCTGTAAGTATACTCGTAATTGTGTTACTAGTTATAAGCATCACAACCTGCTGTCAGACCAGCATAGTGCCTGACTGCCCTATATTAGTTATTTCCTCCACTCTCATATCATTTGTTTCTACAGAAACTGTTTTTCAATGCATAATCATAATACCAGATAACTTGTGGTCATGGGTAGCATGACAACAAACTAGCAAATATCAATTCTTCACTTTGATGTATCATTGATACTCGTGAATAGGTGTCCTATAGGAATAGTACAATGAGGAAGTGGGGATCCTTAAGCACCTAGTTATGTATTATTGAGGCAGTGTTGCCAAAGGAAGCAAATCCCTCACGGTTATAGGCATTTCTGCATGTTAATGAAGATAATTAATGGTGGATTCTCATGAAATGATATACATAATAGAATTTTTTTGTAGCAGAGTTTGTCCATTTCTAGGAGACGTAAAATCTTGGTGCACGAGTGCATTTTTGTTTTCAGTGTGGAAGTAGTTACTAAATAAAGCTGACGTCGTTTTACAAAACAATACATCCTAGAAGGTCAGTTCCTTGATTTTTCATATATTTAGTCACTGTTAATTAAAGAGGAGATAGTGGTTTTGACTTTGAGGGTTTGTTTTTCTGCAGTGTATAATGACATTGGATCACTAGAGACAAGTGTGTCATTGGCAAGAATTTAGGTGAATGAATTTGTTCTGAGAAATGGATATCATACCATATAAGAGCTAGCCCTGATGTTTTCTCGAACAAGTCATTATTACTCGGATGTCTTACACCTGCAGTGAAATAAATTAAAATCATTTAGAATATAAGAGTAAATGCTTATTATAGCCTAAGTGGTTGTTTTGCACTCTCTCTGACTCTGTGTGAGCGTGAGAAAAAGTGTGTGTATCAACGTTTGGGTCTGTTTCATATCGGCACATATTTGCGTTGTCTAAGCTATGAGAAAGTTCCGTGTTCACGTTTATGATTTGATGTGAGCCAACAGTATATGTTATCTCTGTTGTCTATTTTGTAAAATTGCACTGCATAACTGATAAATTTCTTTCCCCGTGTTTATGACAGATACTCTTGGAAGACGCCAAGTGCTTGCCCTGGGAGTAACAATTTCTCCAGGGTTATTGTTGCCACACCAAACTTCAATGTCGTGTATGTTATCATTGCACGAATTTTTTTTGGATGCATTCATGCATTGCAAAACTTTTACAGTCCGTCTTGCTTTCTTCTTCTTTTATTGCTTCTTTTTCCTGTAATCTTTCTCCAAGAACTGAAAATTTTTAGTACCGATGCACAAAACTGACTGTTTTTTTATTCTATTTCTCTCTTTATTACTGTCATTGTTTTTCAGTTTCACCGGTAGATAAGATGGTTCTCTAGAGCATTCAAAACATGCCGTTCAATTGTTTACTTATTTGATTCCTGGGAAAATAATAGCTGATATTCTAAGAGTGTACCGTTGATATGTCTCAGTTGCTGCAGAAACAAAACAGGGATTTCTGTCCGTCACAGATAAGAAGGATGGATATACTTTTCTTTACCCATTTGGTTGGCAGGTTTATCCCTTGTCCTCTTCTTCACTCGGAATTGTTTCTTTTAATTTATTTCATAAATTATTAATATTTATTGAGAAACAGATTTTGGTATTAACTGAGAGAATTTGTTCATTCTTCTCCTCTCTTCTATTCTAATTATATAAACTATAGTTAATATTATAATTTATGGAAACTCAATTGTAACGCCCCGAATTCTCGGAAACTGAAGCTTTAAAATAATATTCGTTTCTTTCTTTGGTTCGACCCCTTTGACGCTAGCCAAAGTATTTTATGTCAATTAGATGAGTAATTAACGCATAGTTGTAATTGGTAGAAAATTGCTTAGCTTCCATTTGTGTACAGTGGTAGCTAACATTCAGCCGTGTAATTTGCCTTATTATTCCTATATATACAAAGGAACCCTCACAATGAGGATTATTGAGTCAAAGGATAAATTGAATACCTTGACATGGTATCAGAGCCATAATTCTGAATTTCTTCGTGGTTTCTCGTGCGATAGAGTCGGTCTTCGGTGGTGTCGGAATTTTCCGACCTCTTGAGTGCTGTCGGCGTCTTCGGTGGTGACTGGCGACGTCTTCTTTGAGTTCTGTCAAGACTCTTCATTTGGGTCCTACGTGGTGTCCGATTTTTTGGACTTCTTTGGTGCTGCCGGCGTCTCCTGTGGTGGCCGAGACCGTGCGGTGAACGTGGAGGCCGAGATTGGTGCGGTGAATGAGGAGGCAGAGACTTGTATTGGTGTGGTGAACGTGAGGCCGAGACTGGTGAACCCGACGTGAATTAGAGGTTTGATATTAACCTCTGTTTATTGGGCTAAGTAATCCATTGTTTAATGAATTAGAGGTTTGATATTAACCTCTGTTTATTGGGCTAAGTAATCCATTGTTTAATTGGGGTGTTGAAGTTTACTTGGACAATTTATCCATTGTTTAATTTGGGTCTTAAAGTTTACTTGGGCTTGGTTTATATTGGGCTTTCTACTGGACTTTGGTTTTGCTGAATTTATATTGGGCTCTTTTGTTTTTAACTACGTACATCATGTCAACCAACATGTCTGAAACTTTCGGCGTGCGATTCACGGGTAAAAATTATTTTACATGGGAATTTCAATTTCGATTATTCGTTATGGGAAAAGAATTATGGGGTCACATTGATGGAAGTGACCCAGCTCCTACTGAGAATATTCAATTGGGCAAATGGAAAGTGAAAGATGCTAGGGTTATGACATGGATTTTAGGATCTGTTGATCCTATGATTGTACTAAATCTAAGACCTTATAAGACTGCTAAAGAGATGTGGGAGTATTTAAAAAAGGTCTACAATCAAGACAATACAGCTAGACGATTTCGATTGGAGTATGAAATTGCAAATTACACTCAGGCCAATCTCAACATCCAGGATTACTTCTCTGGGTTTCAAAGTTTATGGGGTGAATTTGCTGATATTATCTATGCTAAAGTACCAGTTGAATCTCTTGCTGCCGTTCAAACTGTACACGAGCAAAGCAAGCGAGACCAGTTTCTAATGAAGTTACGTCCAGAATATGAGGCAATTCGCTCAAATCTAATGAATCGTGATCCGTCCCCTTCTTTGGATGTTTGTTTTGGGGAGTTACTTCGTGAAGAGCAGCGTCTTACAACACAGGCCACTATTCAACATCAACTTATGACCTCAGATGCTGTTGCTTATGTAGCTCATGGCAAAAACAAATGGAGAGACATGAGAAAGATTCAATGCTTCAGTTGCAAGGACTATGGGCATATTGCTACTCATTGTACCAAAAAGTACTGCAATTATTGCAAGAAGTCGGGACACATTATCAAAGACTGTCCTACTCAACCTCAAAATCGTCAAGCTAATGCATATCAGGCTACTATCAGGCCACCAACTTCTGCGACATCATCTACTGCTGCCCAATCTGCTCTTACTCCTGAAATGGTGCAACAAATGATTGCGTTAGCTTTTGCTGCCTTGGGATTTCAAGATAAACATAATACTTCATCTCATTCTTGGCTAGTTGATTCTGGTGCCTCAAATCATATGACCAGTTCCTCTGAAGGTCTTTATGATATTCGCCCATATCAAGGCTCATCTCATATTCAAACAGCCAATGGGAGTCATTTAACTATTAATGTTGTTGGTAACATTAATTCTGCTTTTCGAGAAATTTTTATATCTCCGGGTTTATCTACAAATCTGATTTCAGTTGGTCAATTAGTTGATAACAATTATGATGTCCATTTTTCTCGTGATGGTGTTCTTGTGCAGGATCAGGTGTCGGGGAAGATACTAGCGAAGGGGCCTAAAATTGGACGATTGTTTCCATTACATTTTTCTATTCCTAGTTGCTTATCTTTGGCTTGTATAACTTTTAACAATAAAAGTGAAGTTTGGCACAAACGTTTGGGACATCCAAACTCCACTATCCTGTCTCATTTGTTAAACTCTGGTTTGTTGGGTATAAAAATAATTCTTCTCATAATTTGTGTTTTGATTGTTCTACATGCAAATTGGGAAAGAGTAAGACTCTTCCTTTTCCTTCTCACAGTAGTCGTGCCAAAAAGAGCTTTGATATTGTGCATAGTGATGTTTGGGGCGTTTCACCTATCACCTCTCATGCCCAGTATAAATATTTCGTGACTTTTATTGATGATTATAGCTGATACACATGGATCTATTTTCTCCGTCTTAAATCTGAAGTACTTTCAGTTTTTCAGACCTTTGTGACATATGTTGAGACCCAATTCTCCGCCAGTATTAAAATTTTACGACCTGATTCAGGTGGAGAATATATGTCCCATGAGTTTCATAATTTCTTAAAACAAAAAGGGATTTTGTCTCAACGATCATGCCCTTATACCCCTTAACAAAATGGGGTGGCAGAACGAAAAAATCGTCATGTATTGGATATTGTTCGTACATTATTACTTGATTCCCATGTTCCTTCAAAATTCTGGGTTGAAGCAGTGTCCACTGCAGTTTATTTAATCAATAGATTGCCTTCCCAAAGTTTACGCTCCATATTATCGCCTTCATAATCAACATCCTACTTATCATGACCTGCCTACTTTTGGGTGCATTTGTTTTGTTCATTTACCTTCTCATGAACGACACAAGCTTTCTGCACAATCTGTTAAGTGTGCTTTTATGGGCTACAGTGTTTCGCACAAAGGATATGTTTGCTATGATCCACGTTCTAACAGATTTCGCATTTCTCGTAATGTTGTTTTCTTTGAGCAACAATCTTTCTTTCATACTCATGCTCAACATTTACCTGAAATTAGTATTCTCCCATGCTTTGGTGATTTGACTTCTCATCCTGAAAGATTCAAGCCCGGACTCGTGTATGAGAGACGTCAACCAAATAGGCCTCTTCCTGAAGTTGACCTCACATCTGATCTTGTCTAACCCCACTCTTCTGAGCCTGAGTTGGCATCAGATACTGATGTACCTCCTGAACCGGGTCCTCGACGATCTACCCGTATTTCTCGCCCGCTTGATAGATATGGTTCTTTTCATTCATTTGCCACTACACTGACATCTATACCCCCTAGTTATTCAGAAGCAGCTAAACATGAATGGTGGCGGAAGGCTATGGATGAAGAACTTCAAGCACTTCAGGATAATCATACTTGGGATGTTGTTCCTTATCCACCCAATGTCAGGGCTATTGGTTGTAAGTGGGTATATTCTATTAAGCTTCGTTCTGATGGAACTCTGGATCGTTATAAAGCTCACCTAGTTGCTCTCGAAAATAAACACGAATATGGGGTAGATTATGATGAGACATTCGCTCCAGTGGCAAAGATGACTACAGTGCGCACTATTCTTTCTATTGCAGCCTCTCAGGGGTGGCCTCTTCACCAAATGGATGTCAAAAATGCTTTTCTTCATGGTGATCTCAAGGAAGATATTTACATGACACCTCCTCCGGGCCTTTTTTCCTCTTCTTCACAAGTATGTAAGCTGAAGAAGTCTCTTTATGGGCTGAAACAGGCTCCTCGAGCATGGTTTGAGAAGTTTCGATCTACTTTGTTACAACATTCTTTTATCCAGAGTCAGTATGACTCCTCCCTATTTCTTTGTAAGACATCTACAGATATTGTTCTTTTACTTGTGTATGTGGATGATATTGTTATCACTGGCACAAATTCTGGTTTAATATCTCAACTCCAGCAGCACCTACAGGCTTTCTTTCACATGAAGGATCTTGGTCCTCTAACATATTTTTTGGGCTTGGAAGTACACACTGATTCCACAGGTATATTTTTGAACCAACACAAATATATTCAAGACTTGATCACTTTGGCTGGTCTTCAAGATTCTTCTTCTGTCGATACTCCTCTGGAAGTCAATGTTAAATATCGTCGTGAAGAGGGTGAGCTCTTTCTTGATCCAACTATCTTTCGTCAATTAGTTGGGAGCCTTAACTACTTGACCATCACTAGGCCTGATATATCATTCGCAGTCTAGCAAGTCAGTCAGTTTATGCAAACTCCACGACATCTTCATCTTGTGGCAGTTCATCGCATCATTCGGTATCTCCAAGGTACTCTTCATCGTGGATTGTTTTTCCCTTCTGGGTCTCCTATTCGTCTTGTTGCATTTAGTGATGCAGATTGGGCCGGCTGCCCTGATACTCGTCGTTCTGTTACGGGTTGGTGTATGTTTCTTGGTAATTCTTTGATCTCCTGGAAGAGTAAAAAGTAGGCATGTGTGTCTAAATCTTCAACTGAATCCGAATACCGTGCCATGTCCGCTGCCTGTTCTGAGATTATGTGGCTCCGAGGACTTTTAGCTGAACTTGGCTTTCCACAGTCTGATCCTACACCCCTTCACGCGGACAACACGAGTGCTATTCAGATTGCTGCAAATCCAATATATCATGAGCGTACAAAGCATATTGAAGTAGATTGTCACTCAATCCGAGAGGCTTTTGATGCAAATATTATTTCTCTTCCGCATATCTCTACTGATCTACAGATTGCTGACATATTCACCAA